TTGAATTCACATTATCATCATCTTGCCTGCCAAATACATGCATGTTCCCTCTCTGTTAACTGCTCATGAGTGGCACACATCATCTTATCATATAGCATCACAATTACTTTCCTACTTATTCTTTGATGTGACTTCTTGATTGATTTAATGTTGTTGAACACTAACAGCCAAATTGTGAACATGTTTCTTTTTTATTCTCAACTATTTGAATTCTAAATATATTTTTCAAGATTAATTCGAATGATAAGTTATTTAGGTTTCATCTCGAAAGTTTTTTACTTTAAATTCTGATATCTTATTTTTGTTTAGATATGTGAAATTATAGAATGATTACATACATCCTAAGTTTACATTCAATTTTCTTTTCCCTAAAATCAATTCTTGATTTTAAAAAAAAGAAAGTAAAAATCTAAACTTCAAACATTCTTGATAAACAGAATTTGAAAGACAAATCACCAAATAGCAATATCTTAGCATCTATCCACCCAATCCCAAGAATGTTTTAAGCTCTAGATTTATACTCTATTAGTGATAAAAATGTTAGTTTGTTTGTGCAGATTTTTTTTTTTTCTTTCGCGGTTTTAAGTCGGACAACTAGTATTGAATTATTTCATTATATTCGTACATCAACTGTCGAATTATTTCATTATATTCGGACATCAACTGCTGAAAGTTTTTTTTAAATTTTTTTTGGGAACAAATTTGTCAAACTAATCACTTTTATTCGGAAGTTAAGTTTCAAATTAAATGTGTAATTTCGAAAAATCAGTTCTGAAATCTCCAAACTGAAAAACATAAAATAAAATTTTAAAAAAAAGTGTGGAAATGATGGCTGAGTAGTGTATGTACAATGATTATGAGTGAAGGGTATAATTGTAATTTTCAATGTGTGGATTGAGAAAATTAATTAATAAATGTGTGTACTGAGAGAAAATGTATACTGAGATAATTAAGTATGTGGAAATAAAATTTCCCAAATAACTGGGTATATTTTACAAACTGAAAAAAAGGAAATTACATTATTAACTCAGCCCTCGTATTACTGGCAAATTTAAGTTAATGCTTTAGTGCTGATATAAATATTGCAGTATAACATTGACATCGGCTTGCAAAATTAGGTTGCTTGGCCGTCTAAAAGGGTTTGTGGCCAACAAAGCTCATCCTGAAGGTTCTATTGCCGAGGCTTATATTTCCAAAGAATGTACAACATTTTGTTCAATGTATTTGGATGGAGTTGAAACATTGTTTAACCGCCCAGAAAGGAATTATGACATGGGTGACCGTGGCCTAGGGTTGGCAGTATTCACTCAAAATGTACGTCCGATGTGTCCGTAGCTGAACGCGAGTTGGCTCATTGGTTTGTCATACACAATAGCACAGAAGTGGATAAACACGTAGAGTATGAATCCTTCAAACGTATTTATAATGTTTTTGTTGTAAATTGATTAGTCTTTATCTTAGTAAATAGTTTTTGAATCGCATTTCTTGTAACTAGGGAGCACAAGAACTTGTTACACCAAAGAGACGGTGCGTTCGACATCGAAAACAGACATCGGAAAGAATTTCCTAAATGGTTTAAAGATCATGTAAGCTAGTATTCTCATATCCTACCATAGATCGTACATTACGTAAATGTCACGCATGCTAGTGACATGACACATGTTCTTCCTGTAGATGAATAAATTGCGGAGCCAAGATTCCCCCGAAGCAACTGATGATATGTGGTCATTAGCCAATGGTCCTAGTGGCTTAGTGAACACATATTCAGGATGTATTTGTAATGGTGTCCATTATCATACTATCGACCGTGACAACCGTCGGAAAAGTCAGAATAGTGGATTAGTCGTGGAAGGGGAGCATGAAGGGCAATTGATACACTTCTATGGACACTTGTGCAGAGTGTGGGAACTGAACTATTTGTTCACACGTCAGATTGTATTGTTCCAATGTGAATGGTTTAACAGCGGTAGTAATAGAACTATGCGTGTAGAGCCACATTTCACAACAGTTGATGTAACAAGTCGATGGTACAAAGATGACTCATTTGTATTACCAAGTCAAGTTGAACAAGTATTCTATGTTAATGACACCAAATTAGGTACCAGTCGAAGAGTCGTTGAAAAGTTTCAACATCGAGGAATTTGGGATGTGCCGGAGATGGATGTCGTGCAACCTGATGATGTGTTCCAACAAGAAGAAACCACCAAGGTTGTACCTACTATGGCTATTGATGATGATGTGGCTTTGCGTCGAGATGATATTGAATCTGAAATTATTCCCATGGAAGTTTTGCAATTTGTCAGAGGGGTAGAAGCCAAGGGTGTTACAGATGATGCCTTCATCTGTGATGATGAAGATGGATTAATGAGGGAGGGTGACGACACAGACGAAGAATATGACCTACAAAGAGATTTTGATACAGATGTTGATGTAGAATCTTGATGTCTATCATGCTTTAGTTCATGCCATAATTTGAGCAATGTGAATGTTCAATTGGTGCACAAATGCAAAGGAAACTCAAAATAATGAAGGGGGATCTATCTTCGTAAATGTCAATAAACTCATAAATGAATGTGTGTTTAAGGCAGCTAATCCAAACTGAAATGGGTGGAGTTTTGTTGTGGGTGTACCCACTCAGTGCAGAAGTGCAGGCCCTCGGCTCATGTTTTTCTTCTTTTCCATTCTATGTTTTTTTTCTCTGGTTTATCTCTGCCCTGGCTTTGCTGATCTGCCCTGGAAGGGTTGTTGTCTAGAATGAAGTGGGAGGTATTTTTGGTGTATCTTTGGTAGTGAAGTTTATGGTGTAGCTTTGGTATCTATCTGCTGCTTACTATGTCAAGTAGAATGTTTTCTGAGGAGGCCTGGAGTACATTCTCTGGAGCTGCTATCAAATGGTTGGCCTACTGTAAATGTGGTGTTTTGTTGGGCTGCTGTCAAATGGAAGGGTGCTGGTTTGCATCTGGTTTGGCTGCCGCTATGCTGGTCAGATTGTGAGTTGAGCCCTGTTAAACCTGCATTCATTGAAGATCTGAATGATTGGTGTATTTAATGGTCAGCATGGCAGTTTGTGCAATGGGTTACTATGGGGTGTGCTGGTGGAATGTAACTGAATGGTGCCTTTTGGTGGAATGCATCTGATATAAGAAGCTCTGAGCTGGTCTGCATTTGTTTGGCTGCAGCTATGCTGTTATGGCTGTAAAGCTGGTTTTGTCTGGTTGCTGCTCTGTTTTGCAATGGGTTTTTGTTGTGATGCTACTGTGTGGATGTTGTTGGGTTCAAGTTTGGGGCTGCCTCTGCTATGTTTATGCTTTGTTGTTGGTACTTTATGGTTTTGTAGATAGAGATTAGAATAAGAGTTAACCATGAATAAATGAAGGAAGGGTTAGTTTGGAAGGGTTAGTTTGAATTCAATTGTAATATGTATGTGTATAGAGTTTGAACAGATTTTGAACAGTCTGGCTTTGATCACTTTAGGGTTAGCTACTGAATCCTCTTTTGCCAGTCTGATATGCCTGGGATTATAAGTTTGATAAAATCATAGGCCATCATACTTGTCAAAAATAAGAAAGAAAGAAAAATCACAGACTATATCTCTTACATGACAACTTGTATTTTTTTGTCAGAATTTACTATTGTTCTTGTCGCATAGTCTAGTTTAACGGACACCTGTCATTTTTTAAAATTTATTTCTTGTCATTTTTGCATTATTGAAGTCATTGTTGTTGGTTTTCTTGAGTATTGTTTCTTTACCATTTTAGAAGATTTTTTGCTATTGAGAGAGCATGGACATTGACTTTAAAGAAGCAAAAGAAGAGCATTTGCTATCGTGATTAGACCTTATCCTAGAAATTGATAGTTACTTTGTCCTTCAATTTTTTGGATTTATTTTTTTTTTTCCTTTGGTGTGTCCAGCAAATATGTTTAACTGAAGAGAGTCAGAAATTTCTCCATTGAACATGAAACTGAAGTACTGTGTTTATACTGGAAACTATGCACCTATGAAGCACGGACACCTCTCCGGAGGTTGTGTGTAGGTGTTCGACACGCTGGAAAGAGTTGGACATGTTGGAACACGATGAGGACACGCTAAGAACACGTTGAGTACTATTTTTTTCATAAAAAATTAAAAATTAGAATACTATTATCAGGTTATGTCAAAATTAGAATTAGAATACTATTAAAAATTAGAATCAGCAGGTTATGTAACAGCCTTAGGTAACAGTCTCAGCACTTCTTACAGTAGTGAGTCACTGACCCAACCATTGTGCAGATGAGTAGGCAATTTTGACTTGGATGATCAAAATGGATTCAATCCTGCAGAATCAGAGGACGGATTCCAGTATGGGCCATTTTTGGTAATGATTTTAGATTGGTCTGTCAAAATGGTCTTACAATCCTTCATGACTCCCCCTTCTGGGGTCCATCCTTTTATTCAGCAAGATTTAAGTGGGATTGTGACCTACTGTGTCATGTCTCTCCAAGGCTTCACCCTCCCATGTACTAATAATACTAAGAAGAAGAAGAAGAAGAAGACAAGTTACCTACCCTTAATATTCTGTAGAAAATATTAAGTACACCCTTTTTCCTTGTCCACTAATACCTCACTATGAGATTGTCGTAGTTTTTGTAATTTAATTTACCCCCTTGGCTTGGATCTTTTAAAGTTTGATGGATAATTTCGTTGTCATCCTCACGTCTTGAAGTTATTTGATTTGTGTTTGGCTATTTTATTTTACGAGTAGTGTACCCAGTACTAAATTTAATGAATTTTCAACCTCCTTGAGGACAACAATAATAGAGCCTCTGCCACCGCCACCAACAATAATAATAACAACAAAAAATACTAATGGTGATGTAATTATTGAAGATACACTTATAATGTACAACCTATGCATGGATTTGGTTGCATTTATCTGAGTTGCATTTTAGGAACTTGGAAGATAGAATATCCTTCGTATCTTTTAACTCAATTTATGATTCTAATGCTTTCATTCTTGTTCCTTTCCAGGTAACATGCCGGTTACTTGGTGTGGTTCTTGAGGAAACTAGTCCAGAGGAGCTTCAGGTGGTGACATTCTCTGTCAATTAAATTTTGTGCCTGAATTAGAAAATGATTGACATTGTGGTTACCTTGCTCTGAGCAGAAACAAGCGACTGTGAGATCGTCTGTGCTGGAAGTACTGCTGGAGATTACAAAATTCTGTGATCTTTATCTCATGGAAAGAGTTCTGGATGTTGAAAGTGAAGTGAGTGTAAACCTTTCTGCTTATTTTTTTTTTATTTTTTTATTTATAATTAATCAATAGTATAATTTGTTTTCCTCTGCATGCTCAGTGTGTAAAATTTTGTTAGGCTGACTTCATAGGTACTCATTGGCACATTAAAGTTTTCTTATTTATTTACTTTGTGTTGGGGAAGTGATTATGAGATGAAATGCTTAAAACTAATGGATCAACAAAATCTGTTCAAACTAACCCTTCCTTTAGGCACGGGTATCCCAACTTCAAGAGGATAGAAGAGTTAACCATGAATAAATGAGTTTAGTTTCAAATGATATTGAGCTGAAATTTAACCGGAGTTCGAGGCTCAACAAAGGAGTTCTTGTGCTGCTAGTGCTAAATAGATGTTTTGAGTGGTTGCTTAATTTGTTTAGCTTACAGTTAAATTATGTTCAATCAGTTCAGGTTGCAGTACAGACAATGATGCATGGTGTCTTTATGGCATCTTGTAAGTTGAAATAAATTACACATTGTTAGGTTTTACAGATTTCCACATTAGGCATATGTTACCTAGGGCCGTAGAATGAATCAAGTTATTCTAGTTCAATTTCATGTTTAAGTTTGTTAAAAATTATTTGACATCAGTTCAGTAGGTGTTAATCAGACCACTGAGCAAACTATAATTCATGCCTGAAAAATAATCAGACCATTTAGTTTATAATCATTCCATGCTTATTGGTCAATTACATATTTCTTTTGCTTGTGGACAGATAAAGGTGTGGGACGCACAAGCAAACTACCAGTTAATTAATGTGACACAAAACAAATCCAGAACAAAAAACAGATCCAAAGTCAAAACATTCCACAAATAGCATCAGGCAACAAAACATCAAAAGTCAACAAATAGCAGCAGAAAATACTCATCAACAGCAGCAAACATATCAGCTTAAACAGATCAGCAAACAGTTCAAGGTCGGTTAACTTATTCCTTCTCTCCCGTTTTTATATAAGACTTAAATGCCCTGATATGATCCATTCCTTATTCTTCTAGCTTGAAAGTGCAATAACCAAGCATTATTTGGGTGTACTCTTTTTCTGTGACGAAGTTTTATTTATTTTTATTGTTTTTGTGTAATTTAGTTCATGTATATCATGCTAAATCATGTAATTAAGCATGTGTTAGTTGAGTTAGTTCATGCCTTCTAAATTATTTTTGTCTAATTTATTTTAAAGCAGGCATATCATGGCATATTGGAAAATGGAAAATGGTGTTACTTGTGTTATTGTATAGTTCATGTATTATTTTTGTCTGCAATAATCAAGCATTATTTTTGTCTAGTTCATGTATATAGTGTTACTTGTGTTATTGCAGATTGGAAAATGGTTCATGGCTTAAAGACTGGTCGGCTTCGGAAGAAGACACTCACGCAGCTAGAAACAGACTCGCCAGCTGCTATTCCTTTAGGATCACCCATTACTCCGTCTCGTGTTCTACCCGTCCGATCAAATGTGGGACCATCTCATCATGTCACTAGCCAACCAATGGTTGATTCTGATGAGACACAAGCCCCATCCGAAACGCAGCCGAGTGGCGTAGGTAAGATTAAAGTGTATAAAATTTGTCAATTAGCACATGCCATTGCCATTGTTTTTTTGTAGCCAATTTTTAGCCCATTTTCATGATGTTATGTTGTTAACAGGGACTTCGAAGCCTCTACGTGTACGCGGACCGACACTTGGCAAAGGCATACAAAAAATAATTGGATCCAAAAAAGGAGAAAAATGTTATGTTCACATCGATCGTGGGTTGAATGCAATGACTGGCAAGTATGCCACTCCAACAACTAACGAGTTAGGAATTCAAATTAGAACCTTGTGCCCTTTGAAAGATGTGAAGTCATGGCTGGATCTTGATGAGACTACAAAAGCTGCCGTCATCCAAGGAGTTCTTGTAACTAATATTACTTGTCCACAATATGTAATTGTATTATGTGAGTAATAAGAAAGACTAATATTTAATGATTACTATTTCAATTTGTTTTGCATGTAGGACAAGTTTCAAATTGGAGACGATTTCCACAATGACTTACAAGCACAGGAGATTGTGAATAAGAAGGCCTATGGGTTGTACAAAGATTGGAGGTACACCTTGAAGCAAGAGTTCGAATTGTTAGAGGGACTTCCACGTGATGAGATCTATGGTCATCCGCCCGTAAGGGTGAGTTTAGATAATTGGAAGCATTTGATTGATGTGGCATGGCAAGATGCATCTCACCAGGTAAAATAATAGACTAGATAGAGTACATACATCTATGTGAAAATGTGATATGCCTTAATATTTACCAAAAAAATTGTTTATCTACTTGACTTATTTTTAGAAACGGTCAAAAGCTGGCAAGAGTAATAGGAGTCAATTGCCGTACAATCATACCAATGGGTCTCGCTCATTTCCTATCGCAATGGCTGCTATGGTGAGTTCGATTTTTTTTAAACTTGAATCCATTATATGTTGTTTGGATATGAAAAATGTTATGTTCTGATACATATATATATATATATATATATATATATGTTAAACTCTGTTAGTAAACATCTACTGTCTGCAAAAAATCTGTCTGCAAAAAATCTGTTAATGATACCCTTGCCACATGTTTGCATTCTAAATCTGTCTACACTATACTCTGTTTTTCATTCGAAATCTGTCTCGCAAAATCTGAACTATACTGCCCCAAATCTAAACTATACTTTGTTTTTCACTTAAGATTATTACTCTTGTAGCTCTATTTGTTTTAGATTTAAGTTAATACATTCACAAAAAACAGATATTCCTGTACATACACATGTTATAATATACATAATCTGAAGTGATTATAAGTGGCTATGTGCGAAAATCTGTTGGACATAATCTGTTTGAGAAATTCTGAACAAATGTGTTGTCAAAAATCTGTTGGAAAATATAAATCTGTTAATGATAATCTCTTTGAATTCGAACTAGAATACTACTGCCTCTATTTCCAAATCTGTCTGAAAATCTGGCAGTAAATCTGTCTAAAAATCTGTCTCCAAATCTGTCCAGCAATTTGTTTAAAAATCTGTTACATCAAATTTGTCTATTTGGTGTATAAAGTGTCATTGATTTATACATTGATGTGTTAACAGGTAGCAAAAGATGGAGAGTTGGATTTCCCAAAGTTCTATGAGGACAGCCACACTTCAAAGAAAACGAATGACTGGATCCATCCGAAATGCCGTGAGCTGCATGTAAATATGTGACAAAGAAATATATGTATTCAATATTTTCTTGTACTTAGTACCCAATAATACATATATGTTGCCAAAGTTTTTTTCATCTTATTTATTTGCAATGACAGCAAGAGATGGTCAATGTACAAGCGGCTGTCATCGAGTCGGGGACGCCATTGACACAAGAGGAGATTTCAAGGCAAGTGCTTGGACAGAAGAAAAGGTACTTGCTTGGATTTGGGAGTGGCCCACAACCGTCTACCATATTTGCAACGCAAGCACACGATAAGGACATGGAGGCAATGCGAGCTGAGGTGGAGGCACTTCATGAGGAGCGGCAAAAGGATCATGACGAGTTAATGAAAGAGTGAGAGGAGCGCGAGAGATGTTATAATGAGCTGTTGAAAGAACGAGAGGAGCGCATTCAATTATCCAATGAGATGTTGAAAGAGCGGGAGGAGGGACAAAAGGCAAGGGACGAGACAAATATAAAGGTCGAGCATCTCAATAACGTAGTCGCCAAACTGTCATAACTCTTGGGAATCTAAGTTGGGCATCTGACGTTTGTTTTTTGGTAAGAACAATTTCATTAATGTCACACTTACGTTGTTTAAATATGTTCGCTTGAAGAGTTGAAAATGTCATCAATTTTTGAGTTATTTGGGGTTAATGATTTCTTGTGTAGTTACTAGAGTCTGGTATTGAGTTTTATTAACAATGAACTTGTATTTAAAATATGTACTTGATTAAGATTAACTATAGTAGAAACATGTTAAAAAAACATAGCGAATTTCAATCTTCGTTTAGAGTAGCATGTAAACTTTAACAGTGGTATTTTGAATAGTAACTCGAATATTTGTTTAAAAGTAATTGTAACCTTCCCGGTGACAAATGTGACACGTTGGGACAGACGGTACGTAAATAGGACACATACGTTGGGAGTTAAAGTTGAAAAAGTCATAAACTTAGACGAAAAAAGGGGTTCGGGGGGCGAAAATGCAAAATAGCCCCCGATACATTGTTTTCTCATAACAGGAAGCTTCCCGGTGATAAATGTGACATGTAGGGACAGGCGGTACGTAAATAGCATGCCTACGTTGGGAATTAGAGTTGAAAATGTCATAAACTTAGTCGAAAAAAGGGGTTCGGGGGGCGAAAATGCAAAGCAGCCCCCGAAACACTGTTTTCTCGTAACGGGAAGCTTCCCGATGACAAATGTGGCATGTATGGACAGACGGCACGTAAATAGGACACCTACGTTGGGAATTAGAGTTGAAAATGTCATAAACTTAGTCGAAAAAAGGGGTTCGGGGGGCGAAAATGCAAAGCATCCCCCGAAACACTATTTTCTCATAACGGGAAGCTTCCCGGCGATAAATGTGACATGTAGGGACAGACGGTACGTAAATAGCACACCCACGTTGGGAATTAGAGTTGAAAATGTCATAAACTTAGTCGAAAAAAGGGGTTCGGGGGGCAAAAATGCAAAGCAGTCCCCGAAACACTATTTTCTGGTAACGGGAAGCTTCCCGGTGATAAATGTGACATGTACGGACAGACGGTACGTAAATAGGACACCTACTTTGGGAATTAGAGTTGAAAATGTCATAAACTTTGTCGAAAAAAGGGGTTCGGGGGGCGAAAATGCAAAACAGCCCCCGAGCCACTGTTTTTTCGTAACGGGAAGCTTCCCGGTGATAAATGTGACATGTAGGGATAGGTGATACGTAAGTAGAACAAGAACTAAATGTGACGAATGATATATCCTGTTGACCTAGTCCTTTGGAAATTGGAACAATGGATTTGTAAAGTTCAGCTAAGGTTTAGGCGCAATTGTGTATTTGATAAGTTTAACTATCACCACTACAAAATGTGCAACAGTTGAACAATAGACAGTTCATATATATAACATGGCCTCAAGATTTGGCTGATGGGAGGATAATTCCTCAGCAACAGAATAGGGAACTTAGGACTAAAGAAGCTAAGTATTGAAGATACGTATCAACAGTTGAACAATATAGTGGTTTGTACAGAAGTTGAACAATAGACAGTACAATTTACTTTCACATTTAAGTAGTAAAATTTAGTTCGATAGATTTAGAGATGAAAAAGCTAAAACAAGAACTCATGATGGGTTCATGTTTGGATGTCTTGCATTAGTTAATAGATATTACTCTCATTGTCTTTTAATGTTTGAAATTATTACAATATATATAAGTCGTCCAGAAGTGCCATTACACGCACCGAACTAATGATTTTTTCCCCCTTTTTTGCAGATGTTTTTGGACATACAAATGTGGATATGTTTTTGTTGACAAGTACGGGAGGGCATTTTTTTTTATATCTCTAACCGTATATATAGTGGTTTGTACAAAATTTTTTGTTGGTAGGGTTAATATCAGCTAATTTGGTAGCAACTAACATAGCACGTGGTACATAATAGTTTTGTGGCAGTACAGAATATAATTTTTGTTGTGGTACAAAAGTTGTAGGTCCACAATGAATTTGGTTATTCCAGTATTATGTATTGAATTAAATTATTGACGTGGGCTTAGACTTGGTTCTTATGAAATTTGTAATATATATATAAGTGGATGTTCAATATTAATTTTTTGGATGGTTGGAACTGAAATGTGTGTATCCGTTGTTGAATGCTTGATAACATATTTACCGTTGATGGATTATATTGTTTATACAGGGTACAGGTTGTATTAATAATAGATTTAGTGATGGATTAATTTGTACAGGTTGTTTATAGAAAATTTTATTTAAAAAAAAAAAAAGGTTGTATTAATAATGGATACAGGTGCACCAAATATTTTATTTAAAAAAAAAAGGTTAAAGTATTTGGCCACCAAATATTTTGGTAGCTAAATATGTAATCAAATGTTTTGGTGACTAAGAATTTAGTAGCAAAAACATAACCCATTAATTTTTTGCGACCAAATAATTAGTAGCTAAAACAATTGAGAAAGAGATAGAGAAAGTATTGGCCACTAAATTTTTTAGTCACGGGAAAAAATGGTATCATTTGGCGACTAAAATGTTTGGTGGCAAAAAATGAAGAAGTGAATGTGAGCAGGCTTTTGGCTTCGAAACTTTTAGTGGGCAAAAGTAACAATGACAAAAATTACTTAGTCGCTAAAAATATGTATTCTATTGATGACAAAAATGTTTGGTCTATAATAGTTATTCTTAAATTATGGTAGCACTTTTAGTGACTAATACTTTAGTGGCAGAAACATATCTTTTGCCGACTAAACTCAAAGTAGTAGCCAAATGTGTACTTTCGGCGACCAATTATTTAGTAGCTAAAAGTGATACCTTCCCTGACCACAACAGGTTGGTAGCCAAAAAGCCTCATTCGGCGACCAATTATTTAGTGGCAGAAACATATCTTTTGCTGACTAAACTCAAAGTAGTAGCCAAATGTGTACTTTCGGCGACCAAATATTTAGTAGCGGAAACATACCTTTTGCCGACTAAAGCCAATTTAGTAGCCAAATGTGTACACTTTCGGCGACCAAACAGATTTTAGTCGCCAATACTATCGCCGACGGGTAAAGGCGACGAGCTTAGCGACGAAAAATTTTGGTCACTAAATCGTTTTGGCGACTAAATAAGTGACTTTTGGCGACCAATATTTTTGTAGCCAAAAGTTACATTTCTTGTGGTGTTCTCTCAAATAAGGTCTTTTTAAAACAACATGTGTCTTAATTATTTCTAAATAAAAAACAATAAATTACAAATGTCACTAAACTACACCTAGTATCACATTCCTAACTTTTAAATAAATAGTTTTTTCAATTTACTTTAACAATCTTTGATTCATAAATTGTAAATAAAAATTATACCAAACTAAATTAAAAATCAAAAAAATAAAATAAAAAGATCATTAGCCACTACAATAAACTACATTAACTTAGGAGTAGAACTTGGTGTTCAAGGTTTAAAATCAACAATTTTGTGAAGATGCAAGATGATATCCCCACTTTGTGGGAACAAGAAAAGAATGGTGTACTAAGTAAGACTTATGACTAGCTAACAACTCCTACCACCACCACCAAAGCTTGATGATGAGCACTAGACTTGGGTCCTTGAACTTGCCCATAATTAGTTACTTGTTAGCTATCCAACTTCAACCAATATATGTGACCCTCAATCTACATTGGGCATATGAGTCTATCCATTTAGTTACTGTGGTGGGCCCAATCCACCCTCTTCCCTCTCCTCCTTGTTCATGCATGCTCCAAGAGACAAACAACACCAACAATTGGGTCAAAAGGGAGTCAAAGAGAAAGGTTTAGTGTGAAAGAGATACAAAAGTAGCTTTAAAGGTTCATAAGCTCTTATCATTTTGGAAAGATGGGTGATAGAACCCACATTGCCCCATCCTCTCTTGGTCATACCATGGCCCCCATTCAAGCTGTCATCTCTCTCTCTCTTTCACTCACTATCTTACTCTCTCTCATGGATGCATAATGCATTGAATCTTGCCTTCTTCTTCTTTCCTTACTATTTAAAAAATTGAAAAGAAACAAGAACCTAAAAGCTTTCATAATATTGTATATGCATATAACTTTCCCATGTTAATCATTCACTACATGAATTGGCAGCATCCTTTAGATTTTATGTATCCATCTATTTTGTGGGTTCCATGAGCTTTAGTCCACATGGATTCTACAAGTGCCTCCTTGCTTTACAATATTTTTTCCTTCTTAGAAAATTGATTCTTTTGGCATCTCCAAGGGCTTGCCAAATGCGGAGTCGTTTTCAAAATTTAGCAAGATTCCAAGAAAAAAAGCTCTCCGATGTATCAATGGAGCAGTTGTAATTTATTAATGTCAAACTTTATCTCATATTTAGCACAAAATTTAACAGAGCTATAAGAAAAAAGCTCTCCAACAACATGTCAAAGGGGCAGTGATATAATTTATTGATGTCAATTTTTATGTTATATTTTATGTGACACAAAATTTAACAATTGCCAAATCGGCCAATTCACAGTTTCTTTTACT